AAAACAGTTAACTAAAAACTCTGTCGTATTTTAACTGCTCTCTTCCTTTTGTATTGTTTTGTTTTTATAATTTATGTTTAAGTTTTGAAATCAGTTCCTGTGCTCAAATAAATTTGTACGGGAAGATATTCGTTAAATTGTATATCAAAAAATTTATGATTTACGGAGAAAAAGAATTTTTTCCCAAATATTTGGAATGAAATATGGAAAATACTTTTTTGCAGACTTACAATGTAATAATAAAAACGATAACTTTAATCAGCACAATAATATTGGTTGGTTTAGTGATCAGATTTCACGTTATCGAAGTTCAGGTATTTAATTAGACAAATAATTACTATTCTTTTGTTTTAAAAATTTTAAACAGAAATAATTATTGCTTAAAGTTTCCTGTCTATAATTATAGATATTGGAAATTAATTTACAATACGTATCTCGTTTTTTTATTTTTTCTAAATACGTTATTTGTAAGCGACCAGTAAATGAAAAAATATTATATGTTTTCAGCTTTACATGAACGCAAATAGTGCTGAAGATTGGCGTATTGCAATAACTTTTCAACATTTTTTACAAATCATTGCGGAAATATTAGCCTGTGCAATTTGTCCATTACCGTTCACTGTCAGGGTTCCCATGGTTTGTTTTTAAGATTTTCCAGTTTTTAATTCTTTTTCCATTTTTTTGTTGCCGCATATTTGTAATCATTTTTTTCTTTTATTTATTTTTTTTTTTTGCCTTTCTTTGTGCTCAAATTATTGCTTTCTATTGAAAGCAATAAATACTTCTTTGCCTTGTAGTGCTTCTTATTTATGCACGCATATAAGACGATAAAAGAAATCAGCACTTGGATACAGTTGCCTGTTCACGTTTAAACCTGACAGTACTTAATCGACCGAAAGAATAAGCATTTCTGTCTCCTAAAAAATAATTAGCACGATAAGCTTAACTTTGTGACGATCAATGCTTCTTATCTGTTTTATTATGGTAGCGGGTTTACATACGAAGAACAGGTAGTTTGCTGATCACAAAATTTAGATGTGTAGGTTCTTTCAACAACGATTTCTTTCATTAGGGTTGTCTATAAATGTCTGCTTATTATTGTCTTTTAATTTAATGGATTATAACTTTAATTCTGGTCGGAATTACTTATTAATTATACGGTCACAAACGAACAGAAAAAAGTTTTCAATATAATACCACATAAATTATAAATTTGTGAATATAGAGATCGATCAATTGCAGAAAACAGTTTTCACTTTTTTTAAATCGCTTGAGACTTTTTCACGAATAAATTATTCAAAATTATTGGAAAAGTGGTAGTCGGTAGCGGAAAGTCTTGGGGAGCAAATTGGAGGCGACAGAAGCTCATATCTGAACCCAACATTTCTTTTCCTTATTCTTCTAAATATGCGGTTTGCTGCCATCACGCACTGAAAACACTTCCTCTTTTTCTAAAATTTTGAAGCAGATCTTCAACTTTTACTTATACCATTCTCAAAGGGTAAAGCTTCTGTAATGATGCTTTTAATAACATCTGGAAAATCTGTGTGAATTACTCCGTGAATATCTCATTATATCATGATTTTGAACTGAAGCTGCTAGCAGTTGAACTGAGCGTTTGAGTGGAAGGTGATTACATATGAGCATTTCTGGTTTACCTACAACAACCGCTTTTTGTCATAAGAAACAACTTGGTCTTCAGAAGAATCAGTTTTAAACCACTAAAAAAGATCTCCTCAGAATTGAACACTTTTTATTCTCTGCAATTCAGTGAGCGTATCCATTGTTCAACCTTCTTCTTTCATTTTACTGCATCTAAGGTAAGAATGACTGTTCGACGCAAAGCCTGAACTTCTGAATCTGTACTACTAGTCATTCCAGACCAGTTTTAAAGAATATCATTTGTTTTAATTGTCATTGTGACAGGGTTTACCTGACTAATGATCACTTGTCATACTATACACCTTTGTTCATAGACCTTGCAAACCGCCAGCGTAGAGTATGTTTTTTGGAAACACTTATGAAATATTTGAGTGCTTATCCATTTGGGTTCAGCAGTAACACTTTCATTTTTTTCACAAAACATCCGCTAAAATATCGTTTTTTTCATTTCAAATGAAGAAACTTCAGAGAAGATTTAAAAAGACAAGGTGTTATGACAAAAGAATAACAAAAGTAAATATTTGATCAGTGTTTCTCTGGTTTTCTCATTATATTTCAAAAATGGTTTTTAAAAATAATTTTTGAATTGAAGTTGAAAAGCAAAATTTCTATATTGGCAGATTCTCATGAATTAACTCAATAATAGACAATGTAAGACAAAGGAAATTTGAACTTTACTAATTTTTTACTTTCTGGTGGTGTATCTATCAATACTTTGTCTGTAAGTGATTCTTTTAAAAAATTTCTGCAGCAAAAACGTGCGAATTGTCAGTTACTTAAAGTCGTCAGCTATTAAGGATTAATTTGGCGAAAAACTGTACCAAGAAGAAATGTTTACAGAAATTTAAGTGGTTTTTTGATAAGCTCTAACAAACCAAAAGGAATTTTTGGAAAGTTTTTTACCTTAATAAGTTTTCATCATGAGTGAGCCACAATATAAGTTAAAAAATTCTTCTAAGTATTTTATTTATCATATTTGAGAAGAGAAATTTGGCATTTTTGTTCTACGTTCAAGCATTAGAGGAAGGAATATAAGGTAAGGAACAAGAACTCGTAATCGTCTACAACTTTGCCGATTCTTCTTATTGTCAAAAGGAGGAAAGTGTGGCAAATTAGTAAATACTGAAAGAGCTCGTGAAAATTGTCTTTTAAAACCTAGGACCAGCTTTTTCGACCAACCAGAACTGCTTTATTTAACAGTTTCTGACATTGTTGAGTACGATAGGGATGTTAGAACTAATACTACAAAAGTATTGAAGCTTTGGTGCGCCAAATTACACAATTCTAAATGTTAACTTACAAGATGTTTTATGCATCGTTCGCATCGTGTTCAAACGGGTTAAACGATATTTGTGATAGTTTATTGATGAGAAACTTAGGATTACTGAATACAGTCACACATGTCCTCTTCAAATTAAATTTATTAATCGAAAATTTTACATAGATCTCTCTGAATTTCATATAATACGAAGAAGCGTGTGTAGAAAGCAGTTGTAGTTTTTGACTAAAAAGTCTTTGAACTAGGTTTTTGTACTTTGAAGGTCTTCGTCCTTTCTCATTTTTCAAGAAGTTCTCCAAGCAAATTCTGTCGAACATCAGTGGTTACTTAAATTGCCAGAAAAATTAGTCCCCGACGAAACCCACTTTTTGTTAAAGTCGCTTAAGCAAGAGTGTTAAACAGTTTTTCTGCTCAGCAGTAGGCGCCAGTAGTCAAGTTTGGAATAGACTATGAAAACAGTTATTTAGAGCTGCCAATTTCGACAAAGACTAGTAGCAAATTAAATTATGAAAAAATTTTAAAATTATTCGTTATTTTTGCAGCTGTAAATTGCAATCTGCTGAAGCGGTGTAAAGAAAATATCCACATCAAGTGAACTTTAGAATTTTTACATTATTTGTAGCAACTACTGATCACGCACATTAGCTCAGTATCAATAAAATCTGGAAAATCAATTTTCGTCTACGGAACGTAGAAAATTGTGACGAGGATACAAATGTGGTTCATACAAATTTTGTTTTAACTTTGCAACGCAGAAATTATCCTTAAATATAAGCTTTTTTTAAAATTTCTTCAAACAATATATTTATGCTCCTCTAAGTTTGAAAATATTGCTAACATTAAAATTGAGAAGAATACAAGAATCTTGAAAACAGCACTGTTAATAGACTGGAAAACAGTAAAAAACGCTGAAGAGTATGAAAGAGATCCCACCTAACTAATAGGTAGCTAAAGCTTCCAGGTTGCTTCCAAAAGTTACCTCTAGAGTTTTCAGATTACTTCAATATAAGCAGTAAGAGTCATGTTAACATGCTTGATAAACATAACGCATTGTCTAAAAGATAATAATATTTTCGTTGGTTTAGTTTAAACACAAGGATGGATACCATATTTTTTGGAGTTTAAAAATGAACTTTTCAACTAATTTTGTGTTTGTAATATTTCAGTAATTGCTAAACAGAAGTGCTTAATAAATTCATTGTTTAGTTTGGTGGAAAAGCAGTATCGCTTGACGTGATGCTTTCTATACCAATGTTTTTTCGTCTCTACTGGGCATGGAGAACTCATTTGTTGCACAGCAGGTTAGTAAAATCTTCAGACCATTTGCTGCTCCATCTGATTATACAGCAAGGTAGTAAAAAATCTTTTAAGGATGTTTACCGATGCGTCGTCGAGGAGTATTGCCGGTTTGAATCGTGTAAACTTTAATGCTCGTTTTATCATGAAGACTTTGATGACTCTTTGTCCAGGTCTAGTAACTTTTTGCTCTTCTTCCTGCAATTTATGCTTCATTTTTGATTTCCTGCATTCCTCAGTTGTATTCATTTGGAGAGTTAAAGTCAAGGAAAGTAGATTTTGCTATAAAATTAATCATAAAACATTCTGCAATTAAACTACACTTCTTATGGGTCATAAGACCAGTCGACTTCAATCCCAAGTGAGGGTTGAGTGAAAAACACAAAATATCTAAGATTCAACGGCTATTTCAGATTGTTTTTTATTTTGAAATTGAACCAATCTTTAACGCAAAGTTGTAATGCAAAAATAGCTATTATTCGTTTTATACTGCAGTACGTTATCAAAAACTTACTAATATTCATTACTTTAAGGTACAATGCTGATCGTTTTTACTGCAACACTTTGGATTGTTGCCGCATGGATACTCCGACTCTGCGAAAGGTTTTCATCAGTTTGCTTATCTCTTCTTTACATTAACTGGCAACTGAGCTTAGCGAAAAAATTTTTATCTCAACATTACCTTGGCAGACTTTAAATTCACTTTTTATTGAAGATTTTCAAATTTTTCTGTAAAGTTGCTACAGTTATAAAATTTTTTATCTGCAAAATGTTTATTTAGTTCATCAGATTTTGATGCTGTAAGATCTCCAGATGACATGAAACACAAGAATTATTTGAATTCACTTTGGCTTATTGCTATCACCTTTCTATCAGTCGGATACGGTCAGTTCCAATTTGGCCCTTCTCATAAATGCTGAAAGCAAGAAATTTTTATATAAATAGAGAGACATTTTCAGGTGATATCGTGCCGACAACGCACTGTGGCAAAGCAGCTGCTGTGGTTACCGGAATTCTAGTTAGTTTCCTATCACTTTTTTAAATATATTGGTTTTCCATATCTGTTTACCAAATCTATTAAAAAGTTTCGAGGCGTTTATACAGCTTTCACTTTTTACTGATTCGTTCGCTTTGACTAGTCACTGCTGTGAATAATCCACGTTGTTGTACCAATGTTTGGGCCTGTTTGGTTTATTTTGAGAATTATTAAAATGCATTAAGATAGGATTTAGAAGACAGGGTAAGCGGTTTCATCTTTACAGGTTTCAATTTCTATGTTTCTGTTCAGATGCTGCTGGATGGATGACTCATGTTTAAAAAATTCCTTCTTCTTGATCAGAAAGACTCATTGGGTTTTCTTTGTTGGAAACACAAGGGCAGACTCAGAAGAGGTTTTGGTAGAGAGTAGTTATTTAAGTTTTGGAGAAGGCTGTCCAAAAGGCATAGACAGAGTTTGCAGGATAGTGAGGGTTTTGTTAGAGTTATGAAGTTTTTAAATGCACTACTTATGTGAAGTCAGCAACTTGATAGGACTGTATGGATGACTGGGAAGAGAACTGATGGTGTTAGAGAGATTACATCCCACGGAATTCTGCACTCAAGTTCAGTCATCTCTTGGCATTAATGCTGCTACAAATTGTTGAACGATTTGTAACGACAATCAACAGTAGTTATTAGAGGAAATCTACAAAAATAGTGCATTAGAATGTGCTCCAACTCAAACCTCAAAGCAATTTTAGATATTAAAAAATTCTGCCAATTTTTTTGACCTATTAGCAATTTTTTTAACGAGACTGAGATAAAAAGTTGTAGGTGCCAGCTAACATCTAGTGTGTTTGAAGTTATGTAGAAAAAAATGGTGTGGACAAGGCGAAAATTAGATGGTAAAACAATTTCTGCAATTTTCTTTAGCAGGACATCAGGTTAAAAAACCAGTTACGATTTTGCCAAAGTATTTAAATTACATTTTAGACAGCTGAAGCACCTGATTTATTGAGGCAAACTATAGCATTTCAGTCGCTAGGGTGTTTTTGCGGAAACAGTGCATTAAACCGATTTGCTGCCTAGCTTTGGTGTAAGCTTGCCGGAACCTAAAAGTTTTTAAGGTGAAAGTATGATTATGGTTGTGTGTTATCGCAGCAGAAATTGAAATGATTTTTCAATTTTGAGTAAAAATAAGCCTGCGAAGTAAACTGATATTTCTCTGGAAAACCTGAAAAGGTCTCAGAACTTCTTAGTAGCCATTATGCTTCTCTAGAAGTATTTAATTAAAAATATTATCTTGGTAAGTCGACTAACGATTTTGCAGAATTTTTTCTAATTAAATCGGCTTTGTTAGACATCTTTTACAACTATGAACATTTAGGGCACCTGTACATCTTCAATGATTGTTGCAGTAATTGCTAGAAAATTAGAATTGTCTCGAGCTGAAAAACATGTTCACAATTTTATGATGGATACTCAACTGACGAAGAAGGTAGTGTTATT